TAGTACGCACGCGCACATACGCACGTACTCACACACACACGCACACACACACTCACACACACACACACACACGCGCGCGCGCGTGCGCGCACGCACGCACTCACGTACACATAGACACACACACACACACACACACACACACACACACACACACACACATACACACCCAAGTAGTCTCCGGCTGAATGGAGAAAAACATCACAGTGTCGTGGAAACAGGATCACATGTTGTGGTGCGTATTGCTGCTTGTTCAGTGAAGCTTGAACAGATGAGAGAACATAATGCCGAGTCCTATTTTTTTTTGTCGCCAAGCTCAGCTCAAAATATGATATTGGAGTGTGCCGTCGCTGATAAGTCCTTGCCTATACGTTCTTATACTATCTCTGACCGTCTAGGTCCTTGCAATACACACGACAGAGACGGTCAAAAGTGCAGACACTGTCTAGAGACAAGACTTAATTCATATTATCCGTTCTTGTCTCCGTATTGACCCCTTCACTGCCTGGCCTGAGATTGTCACGGGTTCTCTGGTAGGACCATGGGTAGAAGCGAATTACTGTGTTGCACTACTCTGCACGTTTATAGCTCCCCAGTAATATAACGTATTAAACGTTCATAGCTTTATAATAATTCTTGAATTATGTATTTCATCTCAACCTTCGTCCTCTATGTCCCTAATCCCCCACCTACATCCTTTCCCGACCCACGTCAACCCACCAACCCCACACGGCCTGCAGTCTAGTTTAGTTGCGTAAGCCCTATATTATGCGATTAGCCAAACACAGCTACTTGCAGATTTTTTTGTTGTTCTTGAATTACGCAAATGGCGCTGTCTGAATTACGAACAATCTTGTCGGACAACGATGTAAAACGCTGTAAAAACACTGGTGTTGACCCTAGACTGGTCATAGTAGAGTCGTTAGACCAGTGTGATGTGTCACAAATGTTTTAAGCGGGAGATCAAAGCTGAACGAAGAGCGCTTGTCCAACCAGTTTCTGTGGCTTGTGCTTAAGGACATCGCTAGCTCAGGAGTGCACTTTGGTGTTTTCTGTCTGTGAAAAGAGTGGTGGAAGAGAAGTCGAGAGGGCACGTGCTCTCACAGGGCCGAGAGGAAGATATTGACTTTGGAGAGGTAAAAAATGAAGGAAAAATGATATCTTTATAAACCGTGTCTACGTGCGCGCATTCCTATTTGCGTTTGTGAATGTGTGTATGTGTGTATATGTGTATATATATATA